TGTATGCTGATCTCTCAACAGGAGGGAAAAAAATCTTAAACATCAAGGTGAGAAACCACGCAATTGAACTAAACAAAGTCAAAGCATACCTCAACTTTGGTGAGAGTTGTGCTTGGTGGACGCTGATTGTTGATGAATTAATAAACCACAACATCCGCTCAAAATACAAAATTCAGGATAAAGAGTGCATGGTAAACATGTTCATGCAATCATGGCTTCCAAAACTAACAAAACCCTCCTCCACCCTACCCACCAGCTTACGTACTATGATTAAGGTTGCTCTACTTTATGGTGTGGGCCTTGCCCCCAACTCTCTAACTGAAGATGCAAAACACCAGATCCCACTATGGTATCACCCTGGTTTTATCAAGAAAAAGAATGTTCCATGGAATAGCAAAGCTGCAAAATGTCTCAGAGCGGTACATGAGCTCACCACAGTAGGTAGTGCTCTAGACTTCATTGATACCCTAATCCCAGATGACCATGTCGCCTCCAACGCATGTGAGTGCTTGTTCTGCAATTCCCTTCATGACTTGGGCTGCATATCACCACACACCTGCTACACAACAGCAATAAGATTCCTCAATGGCATTGGAAACAACTGGAGCCCCTCCTCTTCCACCCAACCAGTCCAGCTACTGGAGCAACCAGAATTAGATGAGAACTCAATAATCTTAGATACAGCCCCTCAACTTGTAGACAACTTGAGAGATGGTTTCTGTGTCTTCATCACTCAGGCAAACCCACCCCCACCCCAAAATCCCAACTGCATGCTAAGATCACAAAGGAACACTAACTATCCAACCATAGAAATGAACCCAATGGGAAATGTCATAGTCTACACAGATGGATCATGTTCCCACAATGGCAGCAATGATGCCAAAGCAGGCAGTGGCCTCTGATATGGTCCAGATGACCCTCACAATAAAGCCCTCAAAATGCCCCCCTCTCTCAGCACAAATAATGCTGGAGAAATCATTGCAGTACTGACTGCCCTCCAGTATACATCTAAGAAAGATGACCTTGAAATCATTACCAATTCACAATATACCATCAACTCCCTGACTAGGGTCTTACACAAGAATGAAGACAGAGGTTGGATCGGAGTTGCCAACAAGATCACCCTACAAGCAACCATTGCAGCAGCCCAAAGCAGGGAAGCAACCACAATACTAACAAAAGTAAAAGGACATAGCAATAACATTGGTAATGATGGGGCAGACAAGCTAGCTAATCAGGGTGCTCAAAAGGACCAGCCAGACGAAATTAATCTCCTGTCTCCCATAGAATACTCCCTCATGGGAGCCAAGCTGAGTACTATGAATCAAAAAACCCTTTACCGAGGCATCATTGAATTAATTGAACAGTGAACAACAAGCCACTATCATGATGCTAGACAGAATCAGATGCTCAGTAGCTGAAGTAACTGGAATCACCCCCTCTGACAAGGAGATATGGAACTCTTTCACAAATAAAACAATAACCAAATGACCACAGACTTTCTTCTGGAAGTGTGCGCATGATGCCAACTGTGTAGGCTCATACTGGCTCCATATTCCAGAAATGGAGGAACACGCTGAATGCTCTCCCTGCAACACCATTGAATCCATGGAACACATTCTGACTGAGTGCAATTTCTCTGGGCAACACCCCATATGGAAGATGGCAGAAAAACTGTGGTCCCACACTGGGAGACCATGGACAACCCCAAGCCTGGGCCTATTCATAGGCAGTGGTCTAAATATGTTCACAGATGACGAAGGCAGAGTAGATAGTGGGCTTTCCCGTCTATACACCACCATCATGTCAGAGAGTGCTCACCTCATCTGGAAAACCCGTAATGAATGGAGAATAGGGACCCAAGGTGACCCTTCAAAATTGCCAAAACCAGGAGAACTAATGAATAGATGGCTCGCAATACTAAATAAATGTCTCCATTTTGATAGAATGTCTGCTGATATTAACAAGTATTGAAAAAAAGCCACAAAAAGGTCCACTGTTTACAACACATGGAGACACATCCTCCGTCCAGCAGATGTCTGGGATCTCTCAAAAATTCTTAGCAGGGTTTTAGTGGGTAGGGTGCCTGGTCTCAGACCAGCTTGAGCCCCACACTGACAGCCCAAACACTGCCGTGTGTAAAGAGCATTTCCTCACGGTATGGATATTATGTTTTATGTTTTTATGTTTCCCCTTTAGCAAGGTTGAGATCCCTTGTTCCCTAGCTAGGTCTGGGAGGGCAACCCAGTTTCTTGTCCCAGTCCCCATAGCTCCACCAAAAAAAAAGAAAAAAAGTGCCGTATCCTGACTCTTGCATTTTCCCACAGGCTTTTAGAGATAGCTCACCTCATCACTGTTTTCCTATTTGTTTATTATTATACAATTGTCCACTGGGGTAAGTGAACTTTGGCAAATCAGCGGATTTCTATTCTCACTCAATGCTTACATAGATGAGATCTAAGAGTATTCGATTATTTGATATGGTGCTGGTCAACTCAATCTATCCTCACCGGTCTTATTGCAGTTTTATGTCAATTCTTCCTTATATCGAATCTTCATCCTGAGCTGGGGAGACAGGTATTTGGTTGCTATTTGGTCATTCTAGGAATCTTCCAAATTGCAATGGATATCTGGACATCTGTGGATGGATTAAATAGTCGAACTGTAAGGGATTTCCTAAGTAAGTACAGTGGAGCCTTCTATACTACTGGTATTTTGCTGAATTTCGGATAGATTTTAATGTGAGCTGTTTATAATCCACCATTATCAGTGGTATTCCTTTGGACTTGTTAACTCACTGGAGGCTGCAGACTGATGAGAGTGTGCAAGTTCACTTACTTGGAATACCCATGGCTTACCTACTGAGGTACATGCTATCAGTATACTCAATCATTCAAGCATTCAATCCTAACTCAGATAATTCGATGTACACAGTGCTGCAATATCTGACACTTTGCTTGCAGAGGCTGCAGTATGGTATCTCATTGACAGTCTGAATAAAGGGAATCAGTAAGGCAGATCATCTATGAGATAGCATTCTTAACAGTGCTGAATAAAATGTATTGGTTCAGGGACTGGTGCTCTGACAAGGTACTTGAACAGTATTTCTCACTAATCCACTAATTAATTGTATCTCTTTCGGATTCTCTTCCCTTCCAGTTTATGTATTTCTTTAAATCTAACTGCTGTGAGTCCCCTGCTTATACTAAGTTTGAGATGTTGCCTTCAACTCATGTATCGGAAAACCATTATACATCAGGAAAGCTGGCAAATGCTACAGAGGCTATATAGCATCCATAGACATTGTAGCCTCTGTAATTTATGTACACTATGGTAGTCTCCGTAGCTTCCATGGAAGTCATACCATTTTGTGCTAGCATAGCAGCTGCAGGTACTACAGACATCTATGCAGTGAACTATAGAATATATAGTCTTAGTAGGCATGCCTAGATATTTATTGGTTATTCTTATTCATTAAATACAATAATTATCATGCAGAATTACACAGTACTTTGGCCAAAAATCAAAGATATATATTTCATATTTAAATACATGAATTAGTTCTAGCAACTAGTAACTGTGGCAGTTAGCATACAGAGCATGGGAGGATTAGAAAGGAAGGAGAATATAGCGCAGTTTTCAAACTGTAGTATCTGCTGGTATAGCACATATCTGTTCATAAAAAGGGAGGATGTTTAGGGCAGTTCCACAAACATTCGGAAAAGAGAGACATACCCCAGAATCCATCGCTGGTTTTGCCATGCTATCTTCCTCCATCATCTTCAATCCCTCGTCGTGGTGCCTTAAGCCAGCTGAATTGCTATATGATTGGCTCGTAAATATGACTGACGGTGGTCAATGGGAACATACCTAAGGCTGAGAAGCTCTCTCAGAAATCTATCTCTAATGCTGCCTCTTCTAAACCATGGTCAATCACCGAAGCCTAGACATAATGATGCAAGAATTACTGTGGATGAATTAGCCTGGAGGTGATCAACCAAAAGATAAACACTAGTGTAGACTCACTGATGATGAGGAGACTTGTCTCCTTGACTGACTAGTTCTTGTGGTAACTTTAATGTATTACAGAAGCAGGATAGGAGAATAAGCACATGTACCTTGGTTTGCAGTCAGAATGTCTCAAACGGGCAGATACATGCAGCTGAGGCAGTAGTAAGAGGATGTCATGGTGGAATGAAGCCAAGTTGTGACGAGGGACCTGGCGCTCATAATTGTTCAAACCAGCGGAGTTCGTTTACCGGTCAGTAGCGAGAGCTGGCGACGGTAGCAAGGCGATATTTACATAGACATTTGCTAGCTTGTGTAGTGCTACGGAAAAATTAGGCGCCGTTGCCTGTTTTCCTGATGTAGTTCGTTGTCTTCCCTACCAAACTTGTCAATCTCACGTTCAACTTTCCCCTGGGTCTAGGCACTTGTGCCTATTTCTTATCATAAGTTAATTCACCTTCTAATATGTCACCTCGACATCCATGATGTTTAATAGTCTACAGCAATTCTATCCTCTCCTCTCTCAACGCCCGTCATTCCTTATGGAATATTAAGACGCCTACCTGGTTCAGTCACTTCCCTGCCACAAATAACCCCACCTCTCTACCCGGGAATATTGGCACGTTTTCGCGTGCTAGTGGAGAGACTGTTAGACCGGTAAGTATTTCACTTAGAGGGCTCGACGGAACCTAGTAGGGCCTCATCATAATTTAATCAATCAAATAATTCAATTTAAAGGAGTGTGAACTTGAAACCGACGTCTGTGGTAGAATAACAGATTCCGACGATTTGGAGATCTTCAAATTAAAATTATAACAAGGAAATGCTAGCCTATACTAATTAGGACATTCGAACTGATTGTTTGACCCCCTTCACCGTATATTTCCTTACACTCGTGTACTCTAAAATCTAATATATTCTATTGTTTTAGACAATCTATGTTAAGTAATACAAGGAATCGGGGAATTCGAACGGTATCCCACATTTGTCATCTCTAGGTAGCTTAGTTGGAAGAGTGTCAGACTGTAATGGGTACCTCAATCATCTCATCTGAATGTCACTGGTTCGATCCCGGTCCCGGAGAATTGTATTTTTCTATCTTTTTTTTTTTTTTTCTCGAGGTTGTGCGGAGTATGTACTATATACGAACCATATCGGTCGGGTAAATATCATCATGATCAAACTCACCTGCTGACAGTTAAGAGGGTTCTTCGTTCTGATGTACATTGACGTGAGGTGACTTGTATGCCGGAGGAAGTCTTGGCTGTCGCTGTTGTCCATTCTCGTTTGTATTGGATAAGTTTAATTTGGAAGAAGCTAGTAAATAGCATAGAAACTGTGGACGACTAAGTATCTGGATAGACGAAGGAACTATCCAAAGTAAGATGTATGAAATTAGTATTAAGCCTCCCAATTTTCAGCACAGTAAAAATTAACACTTAACGTGAAGGATATTCAAATTGAATCGCAAACGTCTAGAGGGTCTCATGTAGACAATAGAATCAGTATCCCATCTTTACTTCTAATACACCAATCAAATCTGCCATGACCATTGTCCTTCCATCTTTGATTCAAATGTGTCCTTCAACAAACTCCATGACGATTGATCTTGTAATACATACCGTGACCTTCAAGTTGGTCGTAGTTTCAAGTTGATGAAAGAAGCGTCACGACTGCATCCCAACATATGGTTGCCACAACTTGCGCTGCCGATGTGGGGATAAAAAGAGATAAAAAAGAGAAGGGGGGAAAGAGAATAAATGATACACCGTTAAGGAATGAGAATTTAATTATAAAGAACCAAACAAGGAAAGTGGGACAGGGGACTCAGGATACTAAGGCCAGTCATTGCAACGGACCAACGGTATGGTAACCTGCTCATTTACCTCAGATTATCAGGCATATCGCCGCATGTATGGAGAAGAGGTATATTGCATACTAAGGCTGAAGTAGCTGAGGTCTCATCTTCTGGATGCTTATCAATGAGAATCTGGCAGTCTTTAAGGTTGTTTCTGGCTACATTCATTTGGTGCAAGAACAGGACTTCTCCTCGGAATGTGGTGGCGTATGTCGGGTTCAGTTCAGTTTGCTGTCCATATTCTTGGGGCTGTGTGGTTATCTTGTTCTGCCTCTGTGCTAGTTCACTGATTATGTTGGCTATTTATTTGACTGCTGCATCAATCTTTGTGGATACCGGTTCCAATACCACTACCATATATTGTGACTATTGTCGGTGATGTCCTTGACAGTTGCCTCTACTGCTCTGGCTCTCACTAGTATGCCTATGGCACATGTTCCATTCTTTAGCATGTTGACATTGTTTGCAAGAAAAAGTGTGTGTAATATGACTTAGCGTGATTTGATCGAAAATGATTGTCTTGTCAAGGAACCCTTCTGCATCTAGGAAGTCTAGTGCTTGTTCTCTACTCTTGATTCAATACTTCATATCCACAATTTCTTTACTGGTTGGTGCTTTTGCATCTGCCGGAGAAGACCTGCGAGTGTTGCCGCTGCTGGGGGGGGGGGCGCTGAGCGCCGAATGTCATTTTTGTTGGGCTTTTCTGTATGTGGGCTCTTTATCAAGGGTTTTTAGATGTTTTTGGGAGCTTTGAGAAGAAAGAAAGAGAGAGGACCTGCTGGGGAAGAAAGAAAAAAACACTATTCTCAGCGCAAACCGTGGTAGTGGTTGGCGTGAGAAAGTTCCAGCAAACCGTTTACAAAGCCTCTTGTCAGCGACGCAGGAAGCAGAGAAGATGATGATGTCAGCTCTCCCACGCTTGCGCCGTCTGGATGCTAGTGAGTCCCCGAGTAAGCTGAGGAGATCAGCCGGCACCGTAAAGATGGAGGTCGATGGTCTGGCAGATTTTGATTGGTGCACTAGTAGTAAAGATGAGATACTGGTTCTATTGTCTACATGATTCCCTCTAAACGTTTAAGACTCCAGTTGAATATCCTTCACCGTAAGTGTTAGTTTTAACTGTGCTGAAAATAGCAAGGCTTAGGACTAATTTCATACACCTTACTTTGTATAGTTTCTTCGTCTATCGAGATACTTAGATGTCCGGCGCAGTCTCGATGCAGCCTACTAGCTTCTTCCAAATCAAATTCGTCCAATCCAAACGAGAATGGACAACAGCGGCAGCTAAGACTTCCTCCGGCATACAAGTCACCTCAGGTCAATATGCATTAGGACGAAGAACCCTCTGTCCTGCCAGCATGTGAATTGATGATGTGATATTGATGCAACGTTCGACGTACGAATTACCTCGAACTATATAAGCCAATGTCTGCCGTTGCTACCAATTGGGTATACTTACAGACGGCTGCAGGACAGAATTCAAAGTATGACAGACGCCGGCGCCCCACCTTTCGATCTCAAACCCTTGTACGGTCCTGCTCTTGTGGGGCTGGTCCTCTCTGCCTTGTACGCATACTTTATTCAAATGTCGAATATTCACTAAGAATTATCAGCCTCTGTGGTCTTGTCACCCTCCAAACATTCTTTTACTACCGAAATTATTCCAAGGACCCCATGTCGTTGAAGCTTTACGTGTTCATTATATGGTATGTGAATTAAAGTCAAAGGTGAGCTAATCTGACACGTATTTTACCACAGGCTCCTACAAATAGTTCATGTCATCGTCATTTTTATGCTTGTCTACTATTATACAGTACTACATTGGGGTAAGTGAACTTTGAATTTCACGTGCTGTTCAAATACCGTTACTTATACTATAGGTATAGGAGATGTAAGAGTAATGGACCATTTTACATGGTCTTGGTCAACGCAATATATCACCACCAGCCTTATCACAGGCTTATGTCAATTCTTCCTCATATACCGAGTCTTCATCCTGAGCAGAAGAAACTGGCGTTTGATCATTATTTTGACAATTTTAGGAACACCACAGCTTGCTATATCCATCTGGATATGTGTTGATGGATTCAGTGGTCAAACTATATTGGATTACTCCAGTGAGTGTACCGTTTAACTCCGAGTCCCTCTTACCACCGCTATATGACACTCCGCTGAAATATCTATAGATTTCAATGTGAGCTGCTTATGGTCTTACATCAAGTTGGATCTACTCATTGAGGGGTTCAAAGATTGATCAGGGCGCACGCACACGTCTGCTTGGAATACCCCTCACAGCTCTAACAAGGTACATAGTACTATTGATGTACTGAGCCTGTCCAGCACTATATCTTAACCAATCTATTACTATCAATCTATGCAGCGCCGCTCTTTGCGATACATTGATCGCAGGGTCTACAGCATGGTACTTGAAGAGGAGTCGGACTAGATGGAATCGGTAAGACACATCCATTAGATTGATAATCCAATTGTTTATACGCCAATCACCATCGTAGAGGATTACTGGATAAATTACTTCTTTATGCAGTTGGTGAGAGGTTTCATAATATGCTTCTTGTGAGTAGATTCTAAAATGGATTATTCTCCCAGGTACTGGTGCTGTAACGAGGTATTTTCTTTCAACGTTTGGAAAATTCATCCGTATTTCCTTCTTAAACGCTCTTTCAACAGTTTTTGTGTTTATTTAGGTGCAGCCGTTGTGAGTCCCTTGATTCGGTCGACTTTATGTAACTCATAAATCGAAATCTATTAACATTATAGCTTATCACTGTTCCAACTAAATTTTTCAATTTCATGTTCAACTTTCCGCTCTGCCTAGGTATTTACTACTTATTTATATTTTATTACGCTAAACTGATACATTCCCTATTAATAATCTAACTATGTCGTCGACGTATATCATGATGTCCAATAGTCTACAGCAATTCTATCCTTTCAGCCCTGAACGCCCGTCATAGCTTACAGAATGCCCATCTACCTTCCGAGTGGTTCGGTACCACGCTGCAAGGTCATCCTCAGAGTCAAGGTGATGACTTAGGATTTCCGAGTATAAGCATTATCGAATTTGCGCAGAGGGAAACTGGTAAATCAGTAAGTATTTCAATTAAAGGAGTCAAGGCCCGATTGACATAAACCTGACTTGACAGGAAAGCAAATTCCAAGGTACCTCGGCGAGATCTGGAGGCAGCCGAGCCTTACAAGCTCTATAGCGAGAAATTATAATTTTGAGCGTCACGAAAGTTGGCCTGCATACCCCCTGTTGTGCTACGATGTAAACGTCCTCAATGGAAATGTCCTTTGCATTTTCTAATCGAAGGCCAGACATTCAGTAAGAACTATTACGATCAAGACTGCATGATTCGCGGTAAGATTAGAACTGAACCGGGAGTTTAATATCTCTGGGTAGCTCAGTTGGAAGAACGTCAGTGCCAGAGGCAGTATAAACAAACTAATGTCAATATATGTCAATAGAGTATATTCGACGCTGCCTTTGTTGTCTTGACGATGTTGACGGTACCCCTGATAGTGACCGCGATCCACTTCCTGATATTCTTTTTCACTACAGATAGTAGTACGGAGTTCGAGTACTCGCTCCTCGTGAAGGTCACAAACGATGTAATTAAAAGAGACAAATTATTGATCTAGTGAGAGTAACGACGATATCTAGCACCGAATGCACTCACACAGTGACGTGCTTACTAAGGAAAATTAAAGTTCTATTTAACGCATATTTCACCGCGGATTCTTTGAGCGGAATGCGATGTATCGGCTGCCATTGTTTCCCAGCCCTCATTGGATTTGTCAACTTGAGAGTCAACGCCGACTCGGTGCAAAGAAGTGAATGGAAAGTGCCCATCGAAAATAGCAAAAGAACACTCTCCGGAACTAAGACCGAACCGGTGACATTCAGATGAGATGAGGTATCCATTGCAGTAGCCATTGTCTACTTTTGCCACAGCCCTTATAATCTAGCTTCTGCAACTTGAACCCATAATCATAACATTTATGACAGATATCGATTTCGTTCCCATTAATATTCAACCTTTGTACGGTCCTGCTCTTGTTGGTCTGGTCCTCACCGCCTTGTACGTGTTCTTTTATCCATATACTGAATATCTGTCAATATAAAATTCTGCAGTCTTTCTGGCCTCGTGACCCTCCAAACGTTCTTTTACTATCGACATTATCTCAAAGATCCCATGTCGTTG